GGAAGAGTTCACTAACCCCGTGCCTGGCACACGGGAGCTGCCCTGTAATCACGTGTTTAATGAATAAACAAACAGGTTACTAATGTGTCTGCAATGCCCGGTGGGACTCCACTCACTTCCGCTTGTGAGGCTGACAAGCCTTGTCTTCCACTTGCCCTTCCCTCATGCCAGTCCACAGTGGCCACCTCACTTGCTCTTAAAAACCCCAAGCTTGGGGCCAGCAGGTGGCATAGCGGCTAAGGTGCTGGACTCCCACATGGCTGACAGTGATCTGAGTCCCAGACCCAGTGGCTTGAAAATCGCAATGGGTGGGGCCAGCGGGTGGCGTGGTGGTTATGGGCTCTGGACTCTCACATGGCAGACCGTGGTTCAGGTCCTGGACCTGGTGGCTTGCTTTCTCACTTTCCTGCTTTCTCTCACTCTCTCGCTTTGTCCCTCTCTAGTCAAAATATAAATTATTAAAGCTAAATAAAATAATTTTAAAAAGAAAGAAAATCACGCTGGGTATGTGTACACGCCTGCCCCAAATCCCAGGACAGAGAAGGGATTGTGGCGTGACCACACCCCCAGGTGATTTCTCACTTTTTCTCAGTCTCTTTCTTTCTCCTCTTTGGTGAACACACACACCCTATGGCAAAAACCTAAGGAAAATACCCCCCAAAACCCAAGCTTGTTCCTGGCCTTAGGGCCTTTGCACTTGCCGTCTCACCAAGAGGTCTCCTCCTCCAGGTCTCAGCCCAGATGTCACCTCCTCAGAGGCCCTCCGTGACCATCCCAAACAAACAACCCCACCCTGCTTTTCTTACTTGCCAGATGAGCACCACAGTGAGACATGGCCACCCTACAGTCTCTCTCCTCTCTTCCATCCCTTTGGGACACTGGGCATGAACCATGCACGCGTGCCCATTCTTTCAGGCCACCCGGGGCTGGGATTTGAACCTTGCTCAGACACAGGGGGTTCTATGCACACTAAACCACTGAGCTACAGGGCTGCCCCACCCTGCTTTTCTGACGCAGTTCCATCCTGCTTCACAAATCACCATCTGAATTCCTTGTGCATTTATGTATGTTTATTGTCTCTCTCCCAGGAGGACAGCTCTGCCAGGGTGGGTCTCTGCCGTGTTCAGCGCATTGGATGGGATAAACACGAGTGCAGGAATCCACCCTCACAGACTAGCGGGGGCCACTCCCCACCTAGCTGGGGGCCCCCTCCGAGTGTCTGGAGCCAGGTCAGCACTAATTCACGCTCAGGTGAGGGGCTTCCATCTTGAGGCCTGGGTTGGGGGGAGGTTGGGAATGGGGCTGGGGGGTGTTCCAGCAGCCTCTTTAACCCCCACCCTCCCCACCCCAGCCGTCTAGGAAACACCATGAGGCAGCTAAGGTTAAGTAGACTCTTGCTGCTTTGTTATAAATATCTTATGTACATTCAAAACATGACATTAAAATATTACTCCGTGTTACAGAAAAGATATTAAGGCTTTCTATTATTTACATTAAACGAGCAAGCACCTTTAAAAAAAAAAGCCCCACTCTCTTCTGTGACACTCTGGCCACAGGGGACACTGTGTCCCCTTCCCTTCCAAACGACCGAGACCCTTTGCAGGGGCTATGCCCGTGAAGACATCCTCGTACTGGAAACATCAGTTCTGGCTGGGATCAGGTGGGCAGGTGGAAGCGGGGTGGAGGAATATTCCAGACTTGGGCAGATCCAGCCTCTGCTGGCCACGCCCTCACACCCTTACTGCGCTCTGTTATCCTTGGGTAGACAGGCTAGGCCGTCTACCCGCCCAGGCCTCTGGGGTCAGTGTGCAGGGCTGTGGCAGGACGATGCTCTGCAGAAACTCTGGTGTGCCTAGGGGCCCTCTAGGTCACTGGGACTGGAGGGCTGCCTTGCAGGACAGGGCGGCAGGTGTGCAGGGAGTGGGGGGACCTCCTTTCTACCCGAGGGCTGGCTGGCAGGGCAAGGCTCCCTTTTCTGCAGTCAGGCTTGGCAGACCGAACAGCTCAGGTGGCTGGGGAGGGACCCAGGAAAGAAAACAAAAAAAGGAAACGAGAAGTCAGTGGCTCAAGTATTTTGTCATGAGGGATGGGCTGGGGGTGCCCGGGCCCAGCCCAGGGGCTGTCCTTTCCACCCAGAGGGGCCAGCTCCAAGAGGCTAGAATTTGGCAGATGGCTTCAGTTTGAGGCTGGGGAAAATTGGCAGCCAAGTGGCAGGCTTGAAGGCGTTATTTGATCTTCTGGGCCCATTTCATGTCATCGGCCCGAGGCTTCTCGCCCGTCAGGCCCTGGATAAGGTCCTCCAGACGTCGCCAGAAGCCCAATTTCTCCAGAGGGTAGTTGAGCCAGCCTGCGGGAGAAACAGCACCAGAGAATTAACGCGGTGTGTGTGGGGAGCAGCAGCTGAGGGGACACTGGGAGAGAGCTGGCGCTGACCAAGTGCGAGCAGCACAGGGACTATGCTAGAAAGGGCCCCCTTGATGTGCTTAAAGCTACAGACACCCCTCCAGCTCCATTATCATCCTCTTCCTTCAGTTAAGTACTTTATGCTAGGCATGGCAGCAGCCTTCTAATTATTAGGCCCAAATGCCGCCTCTGCCAGGAAGCCCACCTTGATCACCCACTTAAGTAGCACCCCAGGCTTATCTTATTACTCTACGATTTGTTTTAGATTTTTGTCATAGGGTATGTGTGGTGGCCAGAGGGGGAAAGTTAGAGAAATCACCCCCTGGGGGGATAGCCACACCACAATCCCTTCTCCATTTTCCTCTTGGGTTTTTGGGCACACACACACATATGCCTGGTGTTTTTCAAGCCTCCAGGTCTGGAACTTGGATCCTGGAGTTGGCCATGCGGAATTCAGCTGCCTTAACCTGCATGCTGCCTGCTGGCCCGCGTTACCCTTATTTCTCTGTGGCCTCTGTGAGAACCTGTAACCATCTTCCTTAGTTCACTATTTTCCTGTTTTATGTCGTTTCTTCCTCGTTTCCCAAAGGAGCTGTGTTCCAAAATGCCAAGCTTGTTCACTGCTGGTCTCTGGGGCCTAGCACATGGTTGGCGCACAGTAGGTGCTTCGTACATACTGTTCACCATTTTGTTGCATCCACATCACAGTGTCCACATGGTCACTCGGGAGTGCCGTCCTCCACGAGAAGACGAGGGGAGGCTCCCTGTTAGGGCGTGGCCAAGCCAGGATCTGAAGCCAGGCCTGCCTGGGTAGTTCCCTGACGTCCTAAACAGCCTAAATTCTTGTCCCTCCGCCAGCCCTCGAAGGAGCAGGACCTCAGGATGTGCAGAACGGATTTCCTGCGTCTCCCTTTCTGCTTCCACAAAGACTTCCACAAAAACTGCACCCCTGGGACCAGCAGTTAGTGTAATGGCTATGTCGCTGGACTCCCATGTAGTCTACCGCGGTTCGAGTCCTGGACCTGGTGGCTTAAACTCATGCCAGGTGCGTGTGCGTGCATGCCCAAGATCCTGAGAGGAGAATGGAGGAGAAGGGATTGTGGCGTGGCCATCCCCCCTGGGGGGTGATTTCTCGCTTTCTGGCAAGCGCACACGCCCTATAGCAAAAACCTCTCAAAAGAAACAAAACAAAACAAAAAAACGCACCCCTAAGCTAGTAGCTGTAACTTACCCAGCACCTACCACACACCACGCGCCCCACTGCCGTCTGGCTCCTCCCACGTACCGGGACCATGTGAGGAGGAGGCTGCAGGCCCACTTTGTGGACGAGCAAAGTGATGGCCAGGGAGGGTCCTGAGTTCCCTGAAGGCGGCGGTGGAGGGAATGAGAGCTGAACCCAGGGTGGTCTGACTCGGACACACTGAACCCTGACAGGAGCCCAGCCGGCCCCAGAGAACCGCTCGCCCCATTCCTTTGGCCCTGGCCCATGTGGGCCTCCTAACTGTCCTTGTCACTCCAGACGTGTTCCTGCCTCCGGTTTTCCTGCCCGCTGATTCCTCGGCCAGGAAAAACCTGCTCCCATTTATCTGCACGGCACCCCCTCCCTCACATACTTCCTTCAGATTTCGGGCTTCCTTCTACCTCCTCCTGGACCCCTGTCATCTCCCGTCGCTCTGCCCCTCACACACCAGGCTCCCCATGTGCATGCCCTAGGGCCTTTGCACCTCTCATTCCGCAGCCTGCAGTGGTCTGCCCTGGGGAGGCCATCCCTGAGCCACCTTGTACCTCTGCCATCCCTCCTTTGTTTCCTCCACAGGAACTTTTGCTCTTGGAGGGACTCCAGAATCTTCCCATGGCCTGTGTCCCCCCCCCGCAGGAGGTGAGTGCCAAGGACAGGGATTCTTGCCTGCCTCTTCACTGCTGTGCCCCAAGCCCAGAACAGTCCTGGCCTCAGCAGTTGCTCAATAAATATGTGTTCCTTCCGGACTGCGTGACCCCCGCCCTCCTAACCCCGAGGCTGGCGCTGCAGCTGGAGAGGGGGCAGCAGGCTCCCCCATGGGGCCCTCACCTGTGGTGATGCAGAAGTAGGTCTCGTGGGGTGAGACGTGGTGGATGCGATGGTGTTTCCTCGGCAGGATGACGTGCCAGTCCTGCAGCAGGATGACCCAGCGCGGCAGCCCGAAGTAGGTGTGGGACCACTTGTGGATCTGGTTGGTGAAGGTGCCGAAGATGATCAGGCAGAAGACGAAGCACTCCCAGGGGTACAGCGGCGCCAGGGCTTCTGCGGAGGGGACAGGGTGCCCGGAGGGCGTGCACAGCTCTCATGGCTGCCAGCCTGCCGCTCGCCACCCGCTCCTCCATCCACCCTCCAGCCTCCCATGAGGCCTCAGGCGAGTGACCCGGTGGGCCTGTCTCCCCTTTCTGTTCCGTGGGCACAGGACGGAGTACACAGGAGTCAGGGACGGGGCTCTGCATCGGCCTGCGCCAGCTCCGCGACCTGCTCTGGCATCTCACCTGGAAGAGCTCAGCTAGTGACTCTGCCCCAGTCTCAACTGCTTTTTCTTTCCTTTCTTTCTTTTTCGGAGAGGTTTTTGCTATAGGGCGCGTGCGTTCGCCAGAAAGCCAGAGAGACAGAAAGCAAGAAATCCCCCCCACAGGGGGGATGGTCACGCCGCAATCCCTTCTCCATTCTCCTCTCGGGATCTTGGGCACGCACGCACACACACCCGAAGTGAGTTTAGGCCACTGGGTCTGGGACTCGAACTGCAATTGACTACATGAGAGTCCAGCAAGGTAGTCATTATGCCATCTTCTGGTCCCTCTTTTTTTCCTTAAGAATTATTTAAGGGACCAGTGAGTGGCGTGGTGCTTAAGGTACTGGATACTCCCACATGGCTGACCAGGGTTCGAGTCCTGGACCTGGTGACTTGCTTTCCCACTTCTTCTCTCTCTGGTCAAATTAAAAAGCAAATGAATGAATGAATAAATAAAGTAAAAAGTTCTTAAAAAAAAAAAAAAAAAGAAAGTTATTTATTTGGGGCCAGCAAGTAGCATGGGGGTTGGCCCCCTGGACTTCCTGAGCATATGTGCCCTAAGGCAAAATAAAAAATAATAAATAAAATTAAATAATTTTAAAGAATTATTTATTTTATTAATTTATTAATTAAGGTTTTTGCCATAAGATGTATGTGTGCAACAGAGAAAGAAACAGTGATAAAGTGAGGAATCACCCCCCACCTTCCCCAGGGGGAATGGCCACACTGCAATCCTTTCTCCTCTATTCTCCTTCTGGGATTCACACACATGTGCCCAGTGTGATTTTCAATGCGTTGGTCCAGGGCTCAAGCCAAGGGCGGCAATATGGGAGTCCAGCACCTTAACCACCATACATACCTCCTACTGGCCCTTTAATTTTACTTTTTTTGGGAGAGGTTTTTGCTATAGGGTGCATGCACTCACCAGAAAGACAGAGAGAGACAGAGAGACAGAAAGCGAGAAATCACTCCCCGGGGGGAGATGGCCATGCCGCAGTTCCTTCTCCTCCATTCTCCTTTTGGGATCTTGGGCACACACACACATGCACCAGGCATGAGTTTAAGCCACCAGATCTGAGACTCGAACCGTGGTCGACTACATGGGAGTCCAGCAACGTAGCCATTATGCCATCCGCTAGTCCCTAATTTGACTTACTATTTTTTAATTTGCTATAGGGCATGTGTGCTTATGAGAGAGAGAGAGAAGGAAAGTGTGAAAGCAAGCCACTAGGTCCAGAACTCGAACTGTGATTAGTCATGTGGGAGTCCAGCGCCTTAATCACCATGCCACCTACTGGCCCCTGAGTCTGTTTCTTCATCAGGAAATGCGAATACAGTTGGTCCTCTGTATCCACAGGTCCACACCAGAGGACTGAACCAACTGCAGACTGAAATCAATCCACGGCTGGCTGAATCCACGATGCAGATGCAGAGGGCAGGCTCTGGGAGACGCCCTTTTCTGTAAGGGGCCCGGGCACCGTGGCTATGCAGGGACAGTGGGAATGACTTCTGTGTCATCCAGGCCCCTGGAAGCCAAACCCAGATGGGCTCACACACACGGGAGTTCCTGAGAGCGTCTTTCTTCAGGAAGACATCTAGGGAGCCAGGGAAGCAGGGCAGAGGAGGAGTTGGCAAAAATGGGTCACAAGAGTCTTGTCTCAGTTTGATCTTTGGGGGCCCCAGAGTTGGTCCCCCCAGGGGCAAGAGACTGGCCTTTGTGGGCCTTCTCAGTCTTCAGCTTCAGGCTAATCCTAAGGGGAGAAACGGGACCCCTGGCATCTCTGCAGAAGACCCCTCTGCTCTGAAGCTGCAGTGAGAGCTGTGGGCAGTCGCCTCCCCACGGCAGCAGAGGGACAGGCTCACGCCCTGGGAAGGCGGCAGGCAGTACCATGGCATCTTCTAAGTACAGATGCACATCACCTCTCCCAGAGGGAGGTGCGCCAAGAATCGAAGAGACGTCAAGTTGTTAGAGTAGGACCTGGCCCTACCTCTCCCACAGACAGGTGAGGAACTGAAGCTCAGCATGGTAACAAGCTTTAGGACAAGCTTTGGGCCCCTCCCAAATAGGCCAGGCCCAGCGCTGAACTGTGGACAGAGCTCACAGCCTGTACCCTTGCCATTAAGCCAAGCCAGCAAAACCTGAAACCTTCAGGGCCAGGCAGATAACCAGGTGGGCTGCCTCTGCAAGAAATCAGGGATTAGAGGGGACTGCGGTCAATTGGAGTGCGTGTCTGTCAAAGGGTGCGCTTGCAGCTCAGCTCCTAGTGGGAACAAGGACCAATTGTTCAAAGCTAGAAGCCCAGATTGTTATGTCAAATATCCCAAATTGACATGAAGACAACAAAATATATTTAAAAACACTATGAGGTGCCCAGGACACATACACAACCTCAGGGGGCTCACGGGGAAGTCTGTCCCTGCCACCCCCCACCCCGGCTGCCACCAGCCGGCACGCCTCACCAGAGCTCTGTGTGCGGAACTTGTAGGCCATGTTCAGCAGCGGCAGCAGGGTCACCAGGCAGTTGTCCCCATTGGTCTCGATGAAGTCGTGCCGGGTAATGGCCGTCGGGTCAATGTGATGCTCCCGGAATGGTCGGATAAAAGCCTGGGGCAGGGGTGGAAAAACGGCCCAACCAGTCAGTGCATGGCGGTCTGCTCTCCACGACCCCTGGACACACTGACTCACCTCTGCTCCACTGCAGTGCCCCCATGAACATTCCCATCACCAGCGGTAGACCCACCCCACCCGCCTCCAAGGTTGAGGTCTAGTGGAAAACGGGTTAAAATGACCCTGGCAGTGGCTTTGGGCTGGTACTGTCCCACTCAGGGCCACCTCCCACCTGTGTAATGAGAAGGCTTGGAGACAACCTACAGCCTTCTTCCCCACCCTAAAACAACTGAGAGCCCCCCTGCAGTAAAAAGGCGCTGGCATCCCTGCCCTCCTTTTTAGTATCCGCTGTTTTAAAAAGCTGACCCGCCCACCTGGAGAGTGAGCATGTGACTTACGCCTGGCCAATCAGAGCATCCCATCCCTCTGGCCAGTGACTGGCTGAGCCAATGAGAATGAGCCAGGGGACTCTGTACAATATGGAAAGCAACTCTCTTCCTGGGGGCTGGAGGGTGGAGGGCCAGCAGCCAGGAGCCGCCTTGGCCCCTCTGGGGAGGAGGGTGGGATGCAGAAGTGGAGACTGAGTCTGAACAACACGGTCTGAGCCCAGACCCCCGCCTCCCCACCTTACTTTAGCTCTAACCCTGGCACCTCCAGTTGCAGGACTCAGTACCCTTGTTGGACTACGCCAGATTGGATTAGATTTTGTCACAGACAGGTAAAACCCACCCTGAACAACCAGGAGGCACAGCAGGGGAGGCAAAGGAAAATGAGGCATGGCCCCCAAGTTCAAGGTGATCTGGTGAGGAGGCCAGGAGCCAAGGTCTGGAGCAGCCCACACCTGACGTTTCCTCCACGGAACTCCAGGCACTGATCCCGTGCTAGTCTTAGAAGACAGGCTGGCATGACGGTTCCCATCTTTCAGACAGGAAACCGAGGTCCAGAGGGAAGGGACTCATCCAAGGTCATGGTGCCCGAATTCTTACCTTCCCCACGATGGGCAGCTCCACGGAGCCCCACGTGTCGGCACCCCAGTGCACCAGGCCAGACAGGAAGTCCGCAATGAGAGCTCCCGCCACTGTGGATAGACGCAGGTAAGCTGGGGTGGGGACATGCAAAGGGGCATCCTGTCCCACCCCCTTCAGGGAGTCACACATTCTGCCACTCGCTCGCATGCTCACTCAGGCACTTGCTGGGGGAAGACTTCCTTCTGCGCTGGGTCAGTTTCTCCCCTGTGGATGGACCTCAGCTCCATCTGCCCCTGGGCTGGTCTCCATCTGCCCCAGGGGATGCTCAGATCAGCCCGGCCTTCCCTGCTGGAGCTGGCTCTCCTGTCCACTCTGACCCACGGTCACAGCCCCAGATAGGGAAGCTGGTCTACTCCGAGCTGCCTGTGACTAGAGAAATGTCCCTTTGGCTCCGGTGTCAGGACATCTCTGCCACGCACTCGCTGTGTGACATCACACGTTACTCAACCTTGCTGTGCCCCAGTGTTCCTTACAAAATAGGAACAATGATGAGGAATAAAAACCCCAGTGGCTCAGTGCCAGGGACAGGTGCTCACATGCTGGGTCCCAATAAAGTCATCACTTGTTAAAACCTGGGAGCCTTTTTTTAGAGGAATTTTTGCTATAGGGTGTCTGCACTTACCAGAGAGACAGAAACAGAGAGACTCAGAAAGCAAGGGCTCACTCCGGGGGGATGGCTACACCACAGTCATTTCTCCTCCATTCTCGTCTTGGAATCTCGGGCATGCATGCACACACGCCCGGCATGAGTTTCAAGCTGCCAGGTCTGGGACTTGAACCACAGTAGGCCATGTGGGAATCAAGTGACATAACCATTAGGCCATCTGCTGGTCTAGGGGCATCAATTTTTTTGGGGGGGAAGAGGTTTTTGCTATAGGGCACATTTGCTCACCAGAAAGAGACATAGAGACAGAAAGTGAGAAATCACCCCCCAGGGGGAATGGCCATGCCACAATCCCTTCTCCTCCATTCTCCTCTTGGGATCTTGGGCACGCACTCACATGCACCCGGTGTGAGTTTAAGCCACTGGGTCTGGGACTTGAACCACGGTTGACTACATGGGAGTCCAGCGACATAGCCCTTACACTATCTGTTGGTCCTGGGAGCATTTTTTTTTTTTAAAGGCTTTTCCCCACCCCCAATAGAACACTTGTGTTTGCCACAGAGGAGAGAGACAGAGAGAGGGAAAGTGAGAAATCACCTTCCCCAAGGGGGGATGGCCGCTCCACAATCCCTTCTTCTCCATTCACATCTTGGGACTTGGGCACGCACGCACACACACTCAGCATAATTTTCAAATTGCCAGGTCTGGGACTCCACCCGTGGTCAGCCACGTGGGATCCAGCGCCTTAACCACTAAACCACCTGCTGGCCCAGAACTTGGAAGCATTTTTATTCCAACTTTATGGGGGTGGAAACTGAGTCACGGAGAGAAGAAGCTAGCCGGGGTCACATACGCGACCGGTGGCACAGCTGGGCTCTAATTCTGCCTTGAGGTCTAAGGAGGGTGTGTGGCCACCACTGTACACTGGGGAGACTGAGGCCGAGGGGCCACACCCTGCCCCCGTACGGTCTCCCATTGCTCTCGGGGCTCCAGGCGGGCCCTGCCCTACACCCTTTTCTCCCTGTACACCCTTACACACCTGCCCACCTCTCCCTCACCTCCTGCAAGTTTTTGTTCAAGAGACTTCCCTGGACACACCTGGTCTA